CATGATCCTGGAGTCCCGGGATCGAGTCCCGCATCCGGCTCCCTGCTCGGCAGGGAGTCTGCTTCTCCCTCTGACCCTAACCCCTCTCATGTGCTCTCTCTCATTCTCTCTCTCTCAAAATAAATAAATAAAATCTTTAAAAAAAAAAAAAAAAGAAAAAAGAAAATCACCATACCAAGAGTCAAAAACAGGCTCTGTAATTTTAAGGAGTCATTTTCTTTTGGGGCAGGAGGTGCGCCTCAATTTCCCCCTTTACAAAATAAAAAAAACTCAGTAGTTTCCAAGAGTCTTTCCACTTATAAAATTCCTATGTCTCAATTTCTCAATTCATTGTATTCTAAGCTCCAATGGGGCAAAACTCAAGAATGTCTCATGTGTTTACCACTTTATCCCTAGCACCTGGTAACCACAATGTAACAGGGGTTCAATAAATATTTGTTGAATGAATAGCCTTTCTGATATCTAAACTATAGGTGATTACAAAATTCAAGAGTTCTGAAATGACCCTGAAAATCAGATATCCCATTTTCCCAGTAAAAACTAATCAAAATAGTTTTGCCAGATCAAATACAAGCTTGTGAGAATATAAATGAAATAATCAAATACCTATTTTAAATTGACTCAATTAATATATTTAACAATACATATTATTAAAATAATATGGCTAAAATATTTTATTCCACTCACATTCAGAAAACAATTACAGTCAAATTTTTCATATTCACCTTAAATGTTAGGGTCGTCATTGTAATACAGCCACTTTTGAAATCATCTAATCATTTTGATCTCAAATATCAATTTCACTTCCATCTAAGTCATTTAGATGCTGCACTTTTTGAATCCAGATATTAAAATGTCACCTGACATTTTATCTCAAATCACTATTAGTACCTATTCACATAATACACAATTTTCCCCATTTTTTATGTAGGTATATATTAGAATCTCTATAATACAGCCACTTTTATTCATCAACATACTTTTTAATCTTTCAAAAAAGCTTTTTTATAATATCCAATACTTGACGATTTTTAAGGTCATACTCAGCCACGATTATTTAATCTGTGTTATATTCTACACTCACTGCATTTTCCATAAACATCCAAACTTGCATGAAGGACATTTCAAGCCAATGTGTTCTTCTTAAACTGTCATTTGTGTGCAAAATAATTTAGAAATTACCGTGTAATACGAGCAACTTTGGAAGGTCTGAAATATAAGCATTTTGGGATGGCAACACCTCACCTAATATTCAGGCACATAAGATAGTTAACAGTATTTTAGAATACCAACAGCTTTCTATATATAGGCAACTGTTTCAACCATGACAGAACAGAGAAAGGATCAACTCTCCTACCTTAAAACTAAAGAACAGGACATATAAGAAAAAAATGATTTTTAAATATTGAACAAAGGCAGTGCAAAACAGTGATCCTTGTGAGAAGAAAAACAAATGAGGTGAGTCCCATAAATGCCTCAGGTAAACTGCCTGCAAAAAGTCTCCAGGCTGCAGCATAGGGAAGGGGGAAATAAACAAAGCCCAGCAATCTAAGGTAAGGAGAGAGATGAGAATTCAGGAAGGCCAAGGTGTCTAAAATTCATAGGTAAGAGTACCAGGGAGAAGACAGCTACATAGAGAGAACTCCACAGATCTGGATAATTCTTCTCAAGTCCTCAGATTATTTCTGCTCAGTCAGACATATAAGGACACTTGGGGACAGAACTGTAGAAAGAAGCAAGTAGAACAATCCCAAGAGCTCTCACAGGGCCAAAAACAATGGAAAAACTCCTAATATATAGAGCTGGGTAGAGCAGTCAGAAAAGTATAGGCACACCTCTTACTGCACTTTGCTTTATTATGGATATTTGTTTGTTTGTTTTACAAATTGAAGGTTTGTGGCAACCCTGTGTGTCAAGCAAGTCTACTGGCACCATTTTCCCAACAGCATTTGCTTACTTCGTGATTCTGTGTCATATTTTGGTAATTCCGGCAATATTTCAAACTTCATTATTCCATTTGTTATGCTGATCTGTGATCAGTGATCTCTGGTGTTATAATGTAATTGTTTAGGGGCACCACAAACTGCACCCATATAACACAGCAAACTTAATAAATGTGTGTGTTCTGACTGCTCCACTGACCAGTTATCCCCCCCATCTCTCTCCCTCGTCTTGGGCCTCCCTATTTCCCGAGACACAACAATATTGAAATTAAGCCAATTAATAACTCTACAATGGCCTCTAAGCGTTCAAGTAAAAGGAACAGTCACACATCTCTCACTTTAAATCAAAACTAGAAATGATTAAGATTAGTGAGGAAGGCATGCCGAAGCCAAGACAGGCTGAAAGCTAGACCTCCTGTGCCAAACAGCAAAGTCGTGAATGCAAGGAAAAGTTCTTAAAAGTGCTACTCCAATGAATGCATGAATGAGAGAACAAAAGAGCCTTATTGCTGACACGGAGAAAGTTTTAGTGGTCTGGATAGAAGAGAAAACTAGATACAACATTCCCTTAAGCCAAAACCTAATCCAGAGTAAAATCCTAACTCTCTTTAGTTCCGTGAAGGCTGAGAGGTGAGGAAGCTGCAGAAGAAGTCTGAAGATAGCAGAGGCTGATTTATGAGGCTTAAGGAAAGCAGCTGTCTGCCTAACATAAAAGAGCAAGGTGAAGCAGCAAGTATGGATAAAGAAGCTGCAACAAGTTATCCAGGAGATCTAGCTAATTCATGAAGGTGGCCACACTAAACAACAGATGTTCGATGTAAATGACAGCCTTCTATTAGAAGAAGATGCCATTTAGGACTTTTCATAGCTAGAGTAAAGGTCTGACTTGAAAGCTTCAAAGGACAGGCTGATTCTCTTGTTGGGGCAAATGCATCTGGTGACTTGGAAGTTGAAGCTAAAGCTCATTTGCCATTCTGAAAATCCTAGGGCCCTTAAGAATTATGCTAAATCTACTCTGCCTGTGCTCTATAAATGGAATAACAAACCCTGGATGACAGCATATCTTTTTACAACATGGTTTACTGCATATTTTAAGTCCACTGTTGAGAGCTACTGCTCAGAAAAAAAGATTCCTTTTAAAATATTACTGTTCACTGACAGTGCACCTGGTCACCCAAGAGTTCTCATGGAAATGGACAATGAGAATAATGTTCTTTGCATACCTGCTAACACAACAGCCATTATGTAGCCCATGAATCAAGGAGTAATTTCAACTTCCAAGTCTTAAGAAATGTATTTTGTAAGGCTATAGCTGCCATGGATAGTGACTCCTCTGATGGATCTGAGCAAAGTAAATTGAAAACTTTCTGGAAAGGATTCACCATTCTAGATGCCATGAAGAACATCCGTGGCATGAGAAAAACACTCTTCATGGGAAGAGTTCAAAATATGAACATTAAGAGGAGTTTAGAAGAAGTGATTCCAACCCTCATGGATGACTTTGAGGGGTTCAAGATTTTAGTGAAGGAAGTAATTGGAGATGTGGCGGAAATAGCAAGAGAACTAGAATTACAAGTGAAGCCTGCAGATGTGACTGAACTGCTACAACCTCATAACAAAACTTAATGGATGAAAAGTTGCTGTCCAAAATATAACACAGAGGGAAAAGACTGAAAAAAAGAGGTTCTTTATCCTTTGCTACATCAAGTAGCAAGTATGCATTAGTTGCATACTAATGAGTATGCAACATTTTAATACAATTAAAGATTCTTTTTTTTTTTTTAAGATTTTATTTATTTGTCAGAGAGAGAGAGAGCATGCACAAGCAGGGAGAGCGGCAGGCAGAGGGAGAAGCAGGCTCCCCGCTGAGCAAGGAGCCCGAATGCAGAACTGGATTCCAGGACCTTGGGATGACCTGAGCCAAAGGCAGACGCTCAACTGACCACCCAGGTGTCCCATAAAGATTTTTTATTTTTAAAATTTACCATTTATCAAACACTTGATATGTGTATCAGACTCCAGTTTTGCATAAATTATCCCATGTCATACTACAAGCACCATATGAGGTGAGCTCTGTTATCATCTCTACTTTACAGATGATGAAAGAAGCAAAATGAAGCAATGTTCTCTACATTATATAATGTAGTACAATATTTCTAAATACACAGATTCAGAAACCAAGTTACAGAATGATATGTATGTATCTTTTTTTTTTTTTAAAGATTTTATTTCTTTATTTGAGAGAGAGAGAATGAGAGAGAGCACATGAGAGGGGGGAGGGCCAGAGGGAGAAGCAGACTCCCCGCCGAGCAGGGAGCCCGATGCGGG